TTAAATATTCTTTACGTATTCCTAACTATTAGCTTTTTACACATTACGCCGTAAAAATATTGTATAAAATTTGATATCGAAAAAATTGTGATATTTGTTAATCCGATAATACGAATTAAATTGCCATACAATATAATGCAGATAATAATTATAATATAACTATAAACTAAACACAAATGTATATGTAAAATCGAATCGAAATAAACAATCATATATATTTAGCCTGTTACGTAAAAATTGAATAAATACATGTGCGAATTATGATATTAAAATATTGATAAGGTTAATAAATAGTAATGCAATTTAGAAATATATATTGACTTACAATTAGTAGATTATTGCGATATCTTAAACTCAAGAGATTCAGATTAAAAACTTATCATTGGCCGAGTCAGCTGTTAGTAGTTCTAAATATGACTCCCACCGTGGTACTTTCAACATTTCATGCAATATATAGCGTGTTCGTTTAAAAATTTGCAAAACTCGATATTATTGATCTATACATTTTTATTCTCTGCAGGAATACATCTTTGTTTATATATATTCGTCGTAATCGTGAAGAATTAAGTATCTTTGTATTGTTGATTGGTGAAAAGGAAAGAGTAGGGATGCCTATTTAAAAAATAAATATATCCATAAAGTTGTATTTTATGAAATAAATGATAATTGTAGTATATTAAGAAACAAATTTAACAATCTTTATCTCTCATAATTAACAACATCATATTTAAATGTGTTCAATTTCTTAGCGATGTTTCTCAAAAACCACGAGTCATTTTCTGTTGATAGTAAGCTGCAATCCTTAGTAAAAAGTCTATATATCTACACACACTTACACAAAATGCATAAAATTTAATTAAAATTCATTAAAAGCATTAAAGTTACCGAAGCAAATATAAAATAAAGCGTGACGCGTAAATTTTACAAATAAATTTTACACGAATTAATACGCGTATTTCATAATAAAAAAAACACTAAAAATAATAGTAATACATAAGTAAAACATTTTTTCTTCTGTGCATAGCGTTTTTAAATATTAAATTTTCGTACAAAAAGCAGAATGACGCTCACCTTTTGCACAAAATAGATGTCTGAGGTTGTCGAGAAGACACTGGTTTTCAAATTGACACCAAGTTCAGAACAGGCCCCTTTATAAAACGGGCATAATCGAGCTTGGTGTTTTCAACTATAAAAAACTTTCTTTTGGATGGAGTACGTTATATCTGGACCAGCTTCCACGCACCAGCGTTTGATAGTAGATTCTCGAAGATTTTGATGATCTGACGCGAACAAAGATGCATTTAGGAAACTTGCGACGATATCTCTATGTCTCCGGTGACCCCGCGGTTATGTCCCTATTTGCAAAAAAAAAAGAAAAAAAAACGTTCGTCCCTTTTTGCACATCCGTAGTGCCAAAAGCGTTAACATAGATCAATCATTTCAAATCCATGACTGTCGAATACTTCTCCAAGAGTTCTTTAAAAGAAAAATGCAATGTTTGTATGCTTTAGATAATGAATTCTTCTAGCAAACGTTAAAATATCAGAACTTATACAGCTCGTATATTTAATTTATAATTTCGAGCAAGGGATGATGTTAAATATTGCAAGATCTAGCAATTCTCTTACAATTAGCGAAGGGAAATTCACGTACCCATTTATTGTCGAAGAATTGAAATAAACAATTTCGAAACTATTGAATAGGTATTTCCCTAAGAATATTTTAATAAGCAAGAAAAATTGAACATCTGCACAAATCGAATTTCGGTAACGTAAAAAGCTTATGTGCAGATCGTAATTTTGAAGAAGTATTGTTGAAGATTGCACAATATCATTCTTTCTATCGCAGTTAACGAATTAATAAATCACACGTGCCTACTTATTGTTGAAGGGCCGAGGTAAGCGGATAAGCTTTTATCTGCGATATGGCAGGTGAAAGAAAACCGCGGATTATTGCCGCACGACGGATAAGGCGAGGGCCATCAGTCAACATCTCGATCATAAAATGTATTCCGATTTATTAAATTTTGCCTAAATATGAGCTCTTTACACGTTACGCTATAATAATATATCGTATGTAGAGTTTGATATCGAAGAACTTGTTACATTTATAATAATCGGTAAAATGGATTAAATTATCAGACAATGTAATAGGTAATAATTGTAACATGGCTTTACGTTAGAATATATATTTTTCCAAACAAATTCATCCTTTCCCAAACGATAATAAAAATTTAAAATAGTTATAACATGAATATATACCTATATATATGCAATACAAATATACATGTCAATTTAGTATATTTTGTACATTAACACCGATCTCTAAAACTAAAGAGATATTTAGAGCTACTGACAGCATGCTCTGCTATTCTATTCAATGATAATCTTATTAATAAGCTCATCTGATTAATAAACTTATTATTGATAGAATAACTGAGCGAGCTGTCAATAGCTCTAAATATCCGATTTTATCATATATGAGATACTTATCATATTAGTGAAATATTATTAGTGAAATATGGCATGTTTGTTTTAAATATTTGCAACAGACGGTATTATTTTGGTATATATTTCTATTCCTTTCAGGAATATATCTTTGTTTAGATATTCATTGTGATCATGAAGAGCTATCTTCGTGTTGTACATTGGTGAAAAGCCAAGAGTGGGAATGTCCACCTGTGAAGTAAATATTTAAAAAGTTACATTTTATGAAATGAATAATAAATACAGTAGGTATATTAAAAAATATATTAATATCTAACAACCTAGATTTTTCAAAATTAACGTTATAATTTGTTATAATTTAAACGCGATGTTTAATTTATTAGCAATGTTTTTTGTTTTAATGAGTCTCACTTTAGTGTGAGACTGCATAGTAAACTGCTATCTTTAGGCAAAAGTCTAAACATATATACATAAAAAAATCTATAAAAATTGATTGTAAAATCTTTTAAATATATTCAAGTTTCCGAAACAAATATAAAACAAAGCGCAATATGTTATAAGTTTTGCAAATAAA